CACTCATTTGTTCTTTACACAAGGAGGTGAAAGGAAGTTTAAGAGATTTTATAGGGTGCACCCCAGCTGTGGGTCAGGGGTGTCCTGGAACTTCCACAGCAGAGACTGGACCCCTCTCCTCACTGACTGTCCAGCCACATGGGGATTTCAGAGACTGGCCTTTGAACGGAGTCCTTGGTCTTCCAACCTCCTTCCTGACATGTGTGTTTGCTACGCCAGGGGCCACTCTGAGACTTCGGTAACACAGGAGCCCTCACTGACCCCCAGGAAAGACAGTCGTACTCATCTCTGACTCCAGCGTTGGTCACCCACGGTTCCAGCAGAAGTCTGAACACCTCCCATGACCCTGATTTATGACACACGTACCACAATCTCCCGGACCCCTGCCCAATTCTCAGACTCTTTCCTCGGGGACAGAGAGGCTCTCACACTCTCAAGGGGCCCGGCTCAAGGCTGACACTAAGGACAAGTGTTTGCTGGTATGTCCTGGTACTCAGCAATGACAGGCCCAAGAGAGGAATCCAGACATAAGCCCACCCTGGTTGATCCACATGGTTGCTGCTGCTGCTGCTGCTGCTGTTAGGCGTCGAGTCAGTTCCAACCCATAGCGACCCTGAACTCGACAGAAGGAAACACTGCCTGGCTGGTGCAATTGTTCCTCTGCTGAAGCCATTGTGGCAGCCACTATGTCAATCAGTCCGGCATGCCAAGGGTCTTCTTCTTTTTCGCTGTCCCTATACTTTACCAAGAACGATGTCCTTCTCTGAAGCCAGGTCTCTCTTGACAACATGTCCAAAGTATGTGCGAACGAAGTCTCACCATCCATGCCTCTAAGGAGCATTTTGGCTGTACCTCTTCCAAGGCAAATGTAATTTTGCTTTTGGCAGTCCGTTGTATTTTCAATATTCTTCACCAACACCATCATTCAAATAATTCAAAACTCAAAGGTTAGATTGGAGAATAAATGTTAGATCTATGTTCGATTGGGAAATACATGGATAAGCATTTTAGCTCTCAAGGTAGGCTAAATGTTGGCCACTCGCCGGGTGGGGAAAAAACGCAAAATAGAGTTCAGGGAATGTTTTGGGGAAGGTTCGTCCAGGACAAAACAGAACCCAAATCATTTTCCTGTCCTGAGGGCACAATGAAAGCTGTCTGGTCAAGCCTTCAGCTGATTGCAACCACACGCGATAAGACAGAATTGTACCTCAGTCGGATTCCTGACCCAGAAACCATGAGATAATACGTGTTTGTCTCTAAAGCTGTTAACTTTGAGGTAATGTTTTACTTGGCAACAGATAACGAGAACAGAGTTTTGGTACTGGAGACACGCAAAGTTCTCGAGAGACTTGTATTTGAAGAAATTCCACTCACTTTGCCTACAGGAAAAAAGGAACAAACCGAAACCAGTTGGCATTGAGTCTATTTGAACCTCTCTCTTCTACAAGCAGGAATTGTGTCCCCACAATTCGGCTGTAACATCCTGAGAAAGGAACATGTGAGAGGACAGAATCAAGAGTCCAGAGCACTGAGTCAAAAGCCACGAGAATCATTTCCAGGATTTGAGTCTTAATCATTGAACTGCCTTCGAGAACATGCTGGGACTTGAATACCGGAACAGGCGTGTGTGTGTGTGTGTGTGTGTGTGTGTGTGTGTGTGTGTGGAGGCCACAGTGGGCTGTGTTGAGATAACTTGTCTACTTAGCTCCCCGGTCGTAAATGAAGACTGTCCTTGAGATGCTGCCTGTGAGAAACACCACCTAAGGACCCTGATCCACATCTGCACCTGAATTAGATGACAAGATTCTGGATTTCCAATTCATGCTGCTGTGGGTGAAACTTTTGGAGGTCGTGGGTACATTTTGCACACAGGAGTTATGAGAATTATTTATGGTCTAAAGGCATGCCTAGTGGTTGTAAATCATGTCTACAAATTCTTGGATCTTTTCAAAACCCCCAAACCATTGGCAGCAAGTCAAGTTTCTGAGACTATATATGTTTACAGGATCTGATTACTCCATCTTGCTCCTGCTGTATGGCTGGTTGAGTTTGAACCCGCAGATCTTTTTCAATGTGGTGCCTAATCCCCACCCCCTGACATGTGGGCTGGACTTAATGCAGTGCAGTGACTCTTCTAGCCAAAGTCTCATTCCCACCAATTTCCCTGCATGACTTTGGTATGAAAGTGAGTGAGTGAGTGAGTGAGTGTGTGAGTGAGTATGTGACTGATAGAATTCACCTGTAAGCAATTGCAAACAGGATTCCCTGGAAGGCCATCCCATTGCACATAAAATGAGCCCTCTGAGAAGCAGGAGGGAATCTCATCCTCAGCAAGCAGCAAGAACCAGGAGTGAAGCCTATCCTCTGGACCTGAGATCCCTGTGCAGTGAGCCTCTTGGATCCAGAAGACAGTCATACATCAGAGGAACGGTAGCAGATAACCAGGAGGCAGAACACAGGAGCCGAGTAGACTTCTCAAACCTATGGAACAAGTAAAGCTGAGTGCTTTAGGGCAGGAGGCTGGCTGGTGGAGTGGGGCGCCTCTGGGCACTGAATTGGGGAAGCTGGGTTTGCTGACTTCCTTGTGCTGAATGCCTTCAGGCTGAGGTCTACAGTGGAGTGATATGCCCTCTTGAGCATTTATTAGATCTGAAAGAATTTTATAACATGTCCTAATAAAACAACTCAACCCTGCGTATCTCACTGGCTTTACAAATTAACTTCCTTAATAAACCCTTTGATCATGACTTTTGTTGTGAGTTCTGTGTAACCGCTGCAATGGATATCAGAACCCCGAGAGGTAAAATAGAGACCATTAAAACAACACACTAACATTTAATTTTGTGAAAAGAATATTGCAGAAGGGACTGTGTAACTTCTGAGCCTGTCATAAATGGCATTCAGCCTCTTGGGATACTTGCTCTTGAAGAAGCCAGTTAGCCATGTCTTAAGAACACACAGCCAAAAGTTGGCAAGGGAGTGTCCTGCTAGCAGCTATGTGAGTGCGTGATCCTGACAGCGTCCTCCAGCTTTTCCAGCTCTCAGGTGACAGCAGTCCCCAGGAACAGTCTGACAGAAACCTTGAGAGACCTGGAACAAGAACCACCCTTTGAAGTAGCTCCTGAACTCAACTCTCAGATACTGTGTGAAACAAAGGATTGCTCCAAACTGTGTCTTTATGAGAATGCCATGCAGCACTCCTTTTCCTGGTGCTCTGAAGCACACCACTCCATCCATCAGGAAGACATGGTACCAGGGCTGCAGAAACACATATGCACACACACATACACCGGTTATTTCCATTCTTTCTGGAGCTATGGAATCCTTCATTATCTCTGGATAGGAACCGGGGACTCTAGGCCCATCCCATTCATAACCCAAACGCCTCTAAGACCCTAGCCCTGCACAAGGGGGAAGCACAGAGATGTCAATGCCAAAACGCCAAACCCAGGGCAGGAGTCGGCAAACCTGTGTGCAAGGCCTACACATTCTAGGCCTTGCAGGGCACATATCAGTCTTTGGCTCACTTTTTATATTGAATACAATGCTTTAAAACTTAAAAGCTATTCTAGCCCGAGGGCTTTTTACCAATGACTGTCCCAGGGGGAAGACTTTTGTTTTGATAGCAGTCTTGCTTCACACTCATACTGGCCATTGTTCTTGTACCAATCCCTACAGCCCGGGTCAACCTGCCCTTGTGGGTTTCCAAGACAGTAACTCTGTGGGAGTCGCAGGCAGATAATTAAAAATCCCTTTGATCTGCAATGTGGCTTCCAAGTTTTGTTTTTTTAACCAGAAATTATACTCAAATATTTCCATCTGCCTTTTATACATGACTGATTTTCATGGAGTAGATTCCTAGAAATCATTAAAACACAGTTAAGAAAACCTTAAAACAAGAGAAATGTAATGAAGACAGGTAAGAAGAGACGACAACAAAAACAAAACCAGAAGCGTGTAGAAATCAAGCCCCAGGCTTTGGAAAAAAGTAAACAGAATCATAGAAAGACTGTGACAAGTGTGATGAGGGGAGAGGCAGTGGGCTTTGATATTCGAAGGAGAACAGGAGGGGGTGACATTCTACCCAAAACAGAGCCACTTGGCTCAGGAGGGGAGGAGTTCTCCAGCAAGAAGCTGTGGAATGCAGCTGAGCAAAATCTTGATGATCTCACTAGATGGTGTGAATACTCAATAAAGCGGTGACTCTCTTCAAAGAGTCTAAAGCAGACATGAAGTTAATTCTTTAGCAATATACTCATGATCTTTAATGGCTATAAAATTTTCATTACAGCCTGGTGATTGTTTGCAAATTGTTACCAATTCAGTATGACTCAAAATAAACCTAATTGGCAGGAAGGCAATGAATTTATACCCAGTGGCACCACCAAATTCAAAATCAAATCAAATGGCCTAACAAATGTGCCTTGTTATTATGGATGGAAAGACAAAATTTTATTCACAAAACACTTTTATTATTATAATTGCAATTTTGGCAACATTAATAAAATAATTACAACTTTGGCAACGTTAATAAAATAAAAAGGATAATAAAATAGCAGTCCTGACAGATCTTCGATATTCAGTACATTCAGACATAAAACAAAGTGACATTGCATTTTAAAAATAGAGCGCTATCCATAGAAAACCAGAGAAGCTCCTGAAAGAACTCACGAGGTGAATTCTCTTTGGGTTGCAGGCACAGCTTGATTCAAGCCAGCTCAGTTCTAAGAGGGAAGCCAAGCCCTTGATGGTGACCTCTTCCCAGCTTTTCACGAACGC